ATAGTACCACCGAGAGAAGGGTAGAACTCGCTGGCTGCAAACAGCGAGGCCGTGACCCAGGCTTCGCTGGCTATCCACTGAATGCCAGTGATGTTCTGAGCAGCATACTCCTTCAGCAGGGGGTAGAGCTCCCCTTCCCCAGAAAAGGTTATGACCACTTTGGCAGTAGAACGCTTAATTACATCTATGATCTCTAGGATTCTTTTTCGACTGTACACTTTTGGAATCATTTCATAATAGGCCAGGCACACTCCGATGTGTTTAAATTCCTTCATTAGGCCCTGCAAGGCAAACCTGCCATATTCGTCATCCTCTGAGACCACTGCTACCCAACTCCAGCCGAAGCGCTTTATGAGCTGAGTAATGGCTTTGACCTGGTAATTGTCATTAGGGATTGTTCGAAAAAACGTTGGGAATTCTCTCCTATCGCTGAGGCACGAACATGTTGAAAAATAGCTAATCTGAAAAAGAAAAAGTTTAAAATAAACCCCAAAGGCTTAGGAAGATGTACTGTATGGAGATCTGTTTTCTTACTCATTCTTACTCATGATGGGCCACATTAGAGGGAGGGTTATGGCTTTTAGCACATTTAACAAATCAGTGTTAAATCTTAATTAGTATTACAGTAAGCATGGATTAAAATGTTTCGGAAATAAAGACCCAAATCTCGTCATAAATCATGTGCTCAAGTATACTGTGCAAGAAAATGGACATTATTAATTTTCCAAACAAGAGCTTTGCACTTCACTGTATTTCATTTTTACAGTGATCATTCCAGCCCCTACTTGCTATATATTAACAAAGAAAACTTTGTTGCGGCTGGAACTTATTTTCTGTTGTCTGTTGAACATGACCACAGCTATTTGATATGCGTCTCGATACATAAGAACCGATGCATTTCTTTTGCCTGTAAAAGCTTACTGTAATTAATATTCCTTCAGATTAAAACAAATAAATTAGTAGAAAATGATGTGCTATCTTACAGTACATGTCAAACCCTCTAGTTTTATCAGGGGTTCCTTTTAATTAATATTACTGATGGACAAACTATGCACTTAAAACACCTAGATGCGAACATATACAATGAACTCAAATTGATTTCATACCATTGGAATTCTGAAGGGCTGCAGTGTTCTGGAGACGACAATGGACTGTGATGACCCTGAGTCTCCGATGATGACCTTTACAGGCCAGGCTCCAGAGCACATCCTGCTGGACACTTCACTGGGGCCATTAAGAACTGTCAGAATAGCCCTCTGGCCAGCCACATGAGTTGCACAGGAATCATAAATCTTATAGCCCAAGGTTACATTGGGAAGCAGGTATGGATTATCATTTATCTCTTGAATTGCTAATCTCATCGTCTGAGCCCAGCGAAAAGCTCTAGGGTCAAAGCTGTCAAAATAAATAGCACAATTGGAAATTATTTTCTGTTCATGAAGAGA